GCACTTTAGCACCGCGTTTCACCCGCAGACGGATGGTCAGAGCGAGCGGACCATCCATACTTTGGAGGATATGATGCGGGCGTGTGTGCTAGACTTCGGTGGTAGCTGGGATACTTACCTCCCATTGGCTGAGTTCTCGTATAACAACAGCTATCACGCGAGTATCGATCGTCCTCCCTTCGAGATGTTGTACGGGAGGAAGTGCAGGACCCCGATATATTGGGGTGAGGTTGGCCAGAGGGTACCGGGGAGCACCGAAGTGGTGCTCAAGATGACGGAGAGGATTCAGCAGGTCCGGAGCAAGCTTCAGACTGCTCAGAGTCGGCAGAAAAGATATACCGAAAAGCGCCGATCAGACCTGGAGTTTCAGGTCGGGGATAGGGTCCTTCTGAAGGTGTCGCCATGGAAGGGCGTCATCCGATTCAGGAAGCGGGGCAAGTTGGGCCCCAAATATATCGGACCCTTCAGGGTTTCAGCCCGGGTGGGCAAGGTGGCGTACAGGTTGGATCTGCCAGCCGAACTCAGCCAGATCCACAACACTTTCCACGTCTCCCAGCTGCGGAAGTGCCTGGTGGACGACTCAGCAGTGGTACCCTTAAAGGACATTCAGGTCGATGACAGCCTGAACTACATCGAGCGACCTGTAGCAATCCTCGACCGAAAGTCGAAGGATCTTTAGAAACAAGAGGGTGGAGCTCGTGAAGGTGCAATGGCAGCACCGGAAGGGCTCGGAATGGACTTGGGAGCCGGTGGAAGAGATGATGGAGCATTATCTGGAGCTTTTTCAGGAGCGAGCAGCAGACTTTGAGGACGAAGTCTGAAATAAGTGGGGGAGATTTGTAGCATCTGGTTCTTGGTATGTATTTCATTTATGTAATTTTACATTTTTGGCCTGGGACTCGGCGAGTTGATGGCCCAACTCGCCGAGTAGAAGCGGGATAGAACGCGGGCTTTAAGTATGGGACTCGTCGAGTCGGATCCTAGACTCGACGAGTAGGCTCTGTCTGGACAAAAACCCTAATCTGAGGGTTTGCACCCTATTTAATCATCTCATTCAGCCCCCACTCGTCCCTATTGCTCCCAAAAACCCTCCCTAGCAAACCCTAAGTGTTTTGGTGCAAGATTCAAGGCTTTTGAGTGATTTTGGTGGATTTTGATCACAAGGAAGAAGGAAGAGCATAGAAGGATCAAGAGGAGACTGAAGGATTCGAGTTTGGTGCATCATTTGCTGTTCTCAGAAGGTATAAAGTCTATACCTTGCTTGTTTTTTTTGTTAGATCCCTTTTTGGGGAGATTTAGGGCTTTTTTTAAGTCATTCTTGATAGCCAACCATGATTGCAAGCTTGGTTGGGAGTTGAGGCTTCGAATCTAGGTCCATGGAAGGGTCACAAGGCAGTTGGGGGTTGCTTTTGCACCCATGGAAGGTCCCATGCATCTTAAGAGCTTCTTTTTGGGCATTTTAGGCTCAAAGTCCCATGCATGCACGTAAAGTTTGTAACTTTACGTGCTAGATTGAGTTTAGGGACCTAGATCTATCATTTGGACAAGAGTTGCACTCCAGAAATCGAAGACATAAGACTTTGACTGCATCGACTCGGTGAGTCGTTCTTGGGACTCGACGAGTCCAAGGTTAGACTCCCCTTTTTCTGTTATGGTTCATGGGAACCAGTTGAGTGAAAGAAAGGTTTTAGAGGATCCAAGGGAGTGACCCAAACGTATTGGGATAAACCATAGTCCTGGAGTTCATAGGACTCGACGAGTGCACGAGCAGACTCGGCGAGTCCAAGGCAATCTCCCAACTCTTGAAGATGAACTCGACGAGTTGTTCATACAACTCGGCGAGTCGAGGACAGGACGTGTTCTTAGGATGGAGATGGACTCGACGAGTGTTCATACCGCTTGGCGAGTCGGAAGAAGGTTCATCCGAGGTTGTGTTAGAAGGAGAACTCGTCGAGTCGTTGCTAAACTCGACGAGTAGGGACATGGATGAGGACAGTTAAAGAAATAGGGACTCGACGAGTTGACGACCCAACTCGGCGAGTCGGGTCAACTGGAAGTTGACTTTGACTTTGACTTTGACTTGGTCGGGGGTAAAATAGTCATTTTACCCTAAGGGGTAGATATCAGATTCTGATTAAGTGTTTTGTGGGGATTATAGCCGGAGGATTTCCGGAGCAGCAGCAGTCAGGGATTCCCTGCACAGATTATCAGCAGCTACTCGTTTGAGGTGAGTTACCTTCCAGTAGCGGTGGGTCTACGGCCACAATGTCGGCCCACCAGTAGGAGTTGTATGATTGATGATTGTCTTTGTGATATTCATCTAGGTTTGCTACTACCTGTTATGTTATGTGCTAGTATGATATGATGTTAGCAGTAAGGGAGATAGTCCCCAAGAGTCCCGGTCGATAGGGCCGAAGGGGGGTAGTCATACCCAGTCATGCTAGATGGAATATGATTATGTGTTACATGTTATGTGGTAGTAGTGGTGGGGTGAAATAGTCCCCAGTATCCGGTCGAGATGGCCGAAGGGGAGGCCAGCACCCAGATATGCTAGGCAGTATCCGGTCGAGAGGACCGAAGGGGAGGCCAGCACCCGGATATGCTAGGCGGTATCCGGTCGAGAGGACCGAAGGGGTAGGTCGGGCACCCAGATATGCCTGACATTATATGTATGTTATGTGATTGTATGGTATGCGGTACGATGGGGGAACTCACTAAGCTTCGTGCTTACAGTTTACAGTTTTGGTTTCAGGTACCTCTTCAGCGAAGGGGAAAGAGCTGGCGCGGTAGCGGCACATCATACACACACGCATTGATTTCCGCACTTGAGATATTCTGGGATTGTACTCTGACATGTTGCTATTATATGTTTTGAGTTTTCAGACATGATACATTGATTCACAAAATGATATATTGTTACACAGTTTTCTTATGAATGTTTTATAATCCGTTAATTAAAATGAAATTTTGGACTCGAAATTTGGGACGTTACAGATAAACACCCGAAAGATTCACTTTCTCCATTTATTCCCAAATTCCATCTGTTCCATCACTGAGTCCAAGTAGCTCCAGTTTATTGTATCAAACGCTTTCTTGAAATCTACTTTGAAGAGGAAGATCGACAGTTTGGTTTTTCTTGCCCAATTATAAATTTCATTCATAGCGAGAGGACCGTCAAGTATATTCCTGCCACATATAAATGCTGATTGTACTTCGTCAACGACCGATCCAATAACCCCTTTTAGACGATTAGCTAAGATTTTAGCAACGATCTTATAAATACACCCTATAAGACTGATGGGTCTATAATCTGTGAGCGAGATCGGGTCTTTCACCTTTGGAACCAAAGTTATAAATGAAGAATTGCACCCCTTCGAGAACAATCCAGTTTTTTCAAAATGTCGGATATACCGGATTATATCATCTTTCATGCATTCCCATTTCTCCTTTATGAATTTGAACGTATACTCGTCAGGCCCATGAGCTTTCTCGTCACCACAGCCCCATATGGCAGCTTTGATTTCTTCGATTGAGAAAGGGGATTCGATAAGAGAGCATTGAGAAGGCTGTAGTTTTTTGAAAAGTGGGCTGATCAACTTAGGTCTATTGGGAACAGGTTCATGAAATTTGGCATTGTAATAATCAAACACTTCCTTCATAATTTCTTGCGGATCGGAGGACCATGAGCCGTTTATATCGATGTCGTGAATTCTGCTTTTGCTATATTTGTTCTTTAGCATTCCATGAAAGAAACGGGTGTTCTCATCCCCATCACAAATCCATTTAATCTTGGCCTTTTGCTTTAGATCCAATTTTTTCGCCTGTTCTAATAGTCTGATTTGAGTCATTGCACCTCTTTTAGAGTCAATTTCCGATACCGATAAAGGTCGAGATTCAGCTTCAAGGTCTAAAAACTCCACATGGTCTCTTAACTTTTTTAAATCGCCTGTCTCCTTTAAAACTTCCCCTATCCTCCAAGTCTTGAGCTTATCCTTGAGATGTCGAAGTTTATGTAACAGATAACTGTCTGGGTTCCCATAACCTTGAAAGGAATTCCAAGCAGAATCAAAGATAACATTGAAATCTTTATTACTCAGCCAGGAATTAAAAAAAAGAAATGGTGGAGGACCGTAGTCGGTATTTGAAGGTTTTAACAGAACCGGAGAGTGGTCAGAATGCTCGCGTGGAAGTGCAACCGACATGGATAAAGGTTGTATCTTGATGGAGTTTTGGCATACTAGGAAACAGTCTAATTTGCTCAGTTTGAGACCATCATCCCTCATATAAGTAAAGTTTCTGCCACCAAGCTTGAATTCATGAAGTCCCGCCTCCGAGATGAAGAGATTGAAGTCAGAGGCAGTGTAATGACATAAAGAGGAGTTGAACCTTTCACTATTAGACCTCACAGCATTAAAATCCCCACAAAATATCCATATTCCAATCTGGTTCCTTTTAAGCTCAAGTAGTTTATCCCATAAAATGCGTTTTTCAATTATGGATTGAGGCCCATAAACATTGACAATCGTAGTGATTCCAGGGAACCCATTCCAAACCCCAGAAGTAGCGATGAAGTTTCTTGATTGAACCGTGTGCGATTTACGAAATATTAGAGGATCTCAAATGCTTAAGATACCACCTGATCCACCAGTCGGATTGACATGATCACATTCGAAATTTACATACCCCCAACAACTATTCACATCAATTGCATTAAAGTCTGATACCCTAGACTCTTGAAGACATATGAAATCAACCTTAAGAGTTAAATGGTAAAGCATAATACATTGCTTTTGCAAAGTGATTAACCCCACATTAATTCTATATTATGACTTGAGTCCATTTTACATATTTACCGCTCCATTTCCAGCTTTTCCCGACACACACTTATTCCTCATTATCACCGTCTCGAGATCCGTCGCAATTAACCCCCCACTTTCCACGGTCAAGATCTCCTCTTCACAAACTTTCACACCAAAACCACCTTCAAAAAACATTCTTTATGCTCCTTCTGCCACCAAATATTTAACTTCACTTCCACTTCCACTTCCACTCACTCAAACCAAACGCCAAAAACTTCATCTCTCGATCTCATGGAAGAAAGACCCGAAACGGAGCTCATTTCGATACCGGCGACGCCAAGGGACTCTACGCCGGAGATACTGACGCCATCAGGACAGAGGTCGCCGAGACCACAGTCCAAAGAGGGTGGGAAGTCGTCGACGGCATGGACACCGACGTCGTTTATTTCACCGAGGTTCTTGAGTCCCATCGGAACGCCGATGAAGAAGGTGCTAGTGAACATGAAAGGGTACCTAGAGGAAGTCGGTCATCTGACAAAACTTAACCCACAAGACGCTTGGCTTCCGATCACCGAATCCCGGAACGGCAATGCACATTACGCCGCGTTTCATAACCTCAACGCCGGCGTCGGATTCCAAGCTCTGCTTTTACCCGTCGCTTTCTCCTTCCTCGGCTGGTAAATCTTTTAACCTTTAAACTATTCACAAATCACTTTTTAACATGTGTATAAAGAGTTTATTTTTTTATTATAGAACAAATTTCATCAACATTAATTATCAAAAATAAAATACCACAAGTTTGTAAGTGTATTTAGTTACACTCATGCACTTTTTTCTTGTTTTTGGCGTATTTTCGGTGAACGATATTTATTTTGATAACTTTCAGAGTTTTGTACTTTGTGCATAAAAAGTCGTATCTTGCTTGTTTTTGTCTCCTGTATGACTGGAAACAAGAACATCCCGTGTTGTTTTAACCATTTCTTGTCGAAAAACATCTTGGGTTTTGACCAATAAATGGTAAAGTCTTTATCTTTAATTAAAAGAACGTATCTCTTTTCATTGATTTTAACTTTTTATATCGAAATTTGTAGAAGCTGTATCTTGAATTTTACTTTTGGGTGTCCAAATTATGTAAACAGGAGTTGGGGGATTATTGCATTAACCATAGCTTACATCTGGCAACTATACACTTTATGGATCTTGGTACAACTCCATGAAGCAGTACCCGGCAAAAGGTACAACCGATACGTCGAGCTCGCCGAAGCAGCTTTTGGTAAGAATTCCGGCCGACAAGATACAATTTAACTCTTTTCGTGGATAAAATCGATGAATTTGGTGATAAGTTTGTTCTCTGTTGTTTGTTTCTACAGGAAATCGATTGGGTGCATGGCTATCGCTGTTTCCGACAGCTTACTTATCTGCAGGGACGGCGACGGCGTTGATTATCGTCGGAGGAGAAACCATGAAACTATTCTTTGAAATCGTTTGTGGGCCTCTTTGTTCTTCAAATCCGTTAACGACAGTTGAATGGTATCTGGTTTTCACGTCGTTATGCATCGTGTTGTCTCAGCTTCCGAATCTCAACTCCATCGCCGGACTCTCCCTTGTCGGAGCGGTGACCGCCATTATCTACTCCACGATGGTGTGGGTCCTCTCCGTCAGCCAACCGAGACCACCCAACATCTCTTATGAGCCACTCGCGTTGCCGACGTTCACCTCTTCCATATTTTCCGTTTTTAATGCACTTGGGATCATAGCATTTGCATTCAGAGGCCATAATCTAGTTCTCGAGATTCAGGTAAGTCAAACTTTTATTATTTTGACTTCAAATTTGATTCATATAATTAACCGATTTCACTAATTAATTGATTCTAGATAAAACTATATAGTATTCTACACATATATGAAGATTTTGGTATTAATATTGTAACGAAATAGATATTGAATTTGAATTTTGAAAATAGTAACCTTGACCTCAAAAAGTCAAACTGAGTTTTGTGGTGTATATCTTCTCTCAGTCGACGATGCCATCGACATTCAAGCACCCAGCTCATGTCCCAATGTGGAAAGGAGCCAAAGTTGCATACTTCTTCATCGCCATGTGTTTGTTTCCGCTAGCCATCGGTGGTTTCTGGGCTTACGGAAATCTCGTAAGTTCATCGATCGTTTTCGTTTTTCAACGTCCTTCAAAACTTCTCGTCGACGCTTAATTTCTAATCACAATTTTCAATCTTTTAGATGCCATCAGGAGGGATTCTGAACGCACTATTCGGGTTCCATGAACACGACATTTCAAGATCGCTTCTTGCAACCACCTTCCTCCTCGTCGTCTTCAGTTGCCTGAGCAGCTTTCAGATCTACTCCATGCCGGTTTTCGACAACTTTGAAGCCAGCTACACCCACCGGACAAACCGGCCGTGCTCAATCTGGGTCCGGTCAGGTTTCAGGGTGGTTTACGGGTTCATCAACTTCTTCATAGGTGTAGCACTACCGTTCCTCTCCAGTCTCGCCGGACTGTTGGGAGGGTTGACACTTCCGGTGACATTTGCATATCCTTGCTTCATGTGGGTGTTGATCAAGAAGCCCACAAAGTATAGTTTCAATTGGTACTTCAATTGGTCGCTTGGGTGGCTTGGTGTTGCGTTTAGTGTGGCGTTTACGATTGGGGGGATTTGGAGTATTGTTGATAATGGGCTGAAGTTGAAGTTCTTCAAGCCCAGCTAGTTGATTGAAGATGATGGCATGATTGTGGTTTGATTTTTGATTATGCATAATTCGATATATACAGTTTCTCATATATGTGTAATATTGTATGGTGGAATGGAAGTGTTAGAATATTATTTGAAAACTACAAGATTTAATCATCCAATACAGTAGTTATGTTGATCAATCTTTAATTAATCTTATATAATTATTTTTAAGCCTAAGTGTGACTCATCCATATTTATTAGTAAAAGTAATATATTTAAAAATTAACATAAGATTTTTACCATTGTTCTTGCAGTGGAGAATTTAACCTGAAACTGATATTGCTTACATAATAAGCTTCTAACTCTTTCTCTTTCCAGTCCAACACTACATTTGATCTGTCACCTTATCGTTCGGCCCAATTGTTTTTAGAATAGCCCAATGTCTTGTTAGGACTTAGGATGCACATCACATATTCATAAGCAATAATGGATTAATGGTCAATGAAATCCTTGTTCGTTTTTTTTTTTTTTTTTCCTTAAAAAATCAACGACATTGGCATGCACAAAACTATCATTAAACTAATAGTATTTGTCGAAACTTAAAAAACAAAAAAGAATATCAAAGATTAAAAAACATTATGTTCACATAATATTATATCCTTTTTTCATTTATTTAATCATTAGTGCCAACGAATGTTGTTTTTCGAATTATAGTGTATATTTAAACATGATAAGTTATATGAAAGGACTTTAAATAATTTACAAAAAATACTTATAAATAAATTTGTTAATTTCTAAAAAATGTTTTTTGAAAAGTTTAACCATTGAAAATGGTCTCACAATACTTTTTTGTTAAATAAAAGTTAGTAGAAAACTAAAGATGGTTGCTATTTTGGGTACTGAGGTTAAAGTGTTTTGCTATTACAAAACTTATATGAGATTTACCAAAGGGATTTAGATTTTGAAGGTAGTTGTTGAAGTCTTTGGTGGTGCTTTTCATCATAAGCTATTTTTGGGCTGGATGAAGAGTGAGACTTTCAATAATGGATTTCGTGTCTAAAGGTTTAAAATCATCACCAGAATTCCTACATCCTGATTTTATTCAGTTTCAGTCAATTTTGCCCCTGGACTTTATGCTACTGGTGAGTTCATTTTGTTATAATTTGGTAAATGATATTTATAAGCAAGTATTTATCCATTGTTGATCTCACAAGAAAAAAGCAAAGGGTAGTCTAATGTACACAGATGTTTAAGTAAATGAAAACAGAGGTGTCACTGAATCAATTTTCTTTATTCCTGCAAAGTGCAATGACATGATCAAGCAAAGGAAACTAAAGATTACCATTTATATACAAAATCCAGGTTACATGAAGCAATTTCATGACTAATATAACCATAATGTTCTTTGTTACCAAACATCATACAAAAAGACACAAAACGTATATGATATGATGCCCATATATCATGAGATAAGTCTTTCCTAATTTAACTTTCATATTATATACGGACATCAATCACCTCAGATAGATCAGCAACATCTCCATTAAAAAAAAAAAAAAAAAAAACTCCGACCTGCAAAAACATCAACAGAAGCTCTCTTAAATGTCAAGTTTATTCATGAAAAGATACCAAAAATAGAAAGAAAGAAAGGAAAAACTGGAACCTGATTATGAACTAAGTGGCTAACAGATTTGAAGGTCCAGCTCCAGTTCCAGTTCCAGATGAAGGATACTGATTTCCAAGACTTGATATGTGGACACGCATTTCACAGCTTCCAACAAGCTCAAAAATACAAATATCTCCCATTTGAATCCCATTCTCACGCACAAATCCCATCCATCCTCCACAAAATGTATGCAGTGTATGCATTGTCTCCACTTTCAGAGTTGGAATTGAATTCACTGTCCAGCATTCCCCTTTCAAATTCTGAAGAATTATCTCTGTTCTGCAGCTAGGTAGGTGTTCCATTGAAAACTGATATGGAACTTTCTGTTTATTTTTTTATTTTTTTTAATAAATAAAACTGTGTTGTTAGTTTAGTTGTTACATAACATAAACAACTATCAAAAGTTTTAAACAAGAAACACTCACCAGAGTGTATGATCCACTGACATTGAACTTCTTCATGACTCTAACAAAATAAGGAAAACTAGAAACAAAAGATTCAGCAGCCATTTTTTCCTCAGGTGCTGACTTCATTGACATACACCCTGTCATTGAAGAACCCCTTTTTTCCTTTAACACTCTCTCTTTCCCTATCAATCATTTCACTTCTTACTATCTCATTCAAAAACTAACAGAATTATTAATTTTAGAATTAAAATAATACCTGGTTTTCCATTTGTTGTAGTTTTGGATTGGGACCCAACCACAGAGCCTTTAGCAGCAATACCAAGTTTGACCTTTTCAATGGAGAAAGCAACCTTCTGACCTTCCATCATGGAAAGCTTCTGTGTTTTGCGTGATTTTCCTTTAGCTTTCTTTGCCAACTTTCCGGCAGTTTTATGAGTCAATCCCTTAACATCACTACTACCATGTTGTTGTTCTTGTTGTTCATACTCTATTGCTTCTTGTCTAACTCTAAGAATATTCACACGCATTTCACAGTTTCCCACAAGTTCAAATATGCACACATCTCTCACATTTATGTTGTTCCCACGAACAAAACCCAACCACCCACCACAGAATGTATGTGCAGTTTGAACTTTTGTGGTTGGGATTGAATTAACAGTCCAAGATTCTCCTTTTAAGTTTTGAAGAACAATCTTTACTTTGCAGTTTGGAAGGTAAGCCATAGCAAACTGATATGGAACATTCTGGAACATCAATTTCATTTCACCCAATCAGAATCAATAACATTTTTTATATAAATAAGTAAATAACCATGACATATGAAAGATACACACCAAAGTATATGAACCACTTATGTTGAATCTTTTCATAACTTGGGAAAAATGAGGGAAGCTTGAATTGAAAGTTTGAGCTATCTTTTCTGCTTCTGAAGCTGATATTCTTCCTAACTCTTCTTCGTTAGGACGTACAGCTGAATCAGTTTAGAAAAACACAAAAAAGGTGTAATGATTAAAAAGAAAAAGGCATTAAGAACAATGAATAAACAGAAAGTAGTAAGCTTTTTTACCTGATACAGGTAAAGCAGGAGTGATGGAATTCTTTAAACCACTTCCACAAAACTCTGAACCATTCAAAAAGTCTGCAACTCCATCCATGGTTTCTTGTTCAGATATGTTTGTGGGTTCATTGTGTGATTGAGAGCTTCTTGGTTTCTTTGGGACTCCATCAACCATATTTGACAACAAAGATGCATATTCCCTTTCCCTTTTTTTTCCAAAATGTTGATCAAAGATGCTTAAATCTTGATGGCATTCGGCTGAAAATGCAGTCTCTTTCTCACAAGAACTTTGATCAAAGATTTGAACTGTGAAATGCAAATTACCATCATATCTGAAAACTAAAGAGTCACCATTTTCTAAGAAGTGATCTCTCACAAAAGCTGCCCATCCATCCAAGATAAACATACCATCACTTTGCTGTGCCAAGTCAGCATGCCATGTGTTCCCACTGGGACCCATCAATGAAACTGTTCCAGATGTTTTCCCTTCCAAATGTTTCCCAAATTTTGAAGGTATTTTCTGCAACAGTAAACACAAGGATCACATAATGAACAGTAAAAAGAGACATAACAGTAATCATACCACTTAATACAATGAGAACCACTAGCTATATGAAACAGTTCTTGGCTGTATCTAACTTTCATAAATCACCATAGGGATTCTAAATCAGAAGATCATAACTATCTATGATTTGTGAACATATGATTTCATCAACAGGCTTCTGAATCTGAATAAAACAGCCCTAAATCCTAACCAAATTGGTAAAAACAAATTCACATCGGAACTACATTCGACTTTCTCTAACTTCGTAACTCTACAGACGATTGAACATTGATAATATCATTAAAAGCCCACATTTATACTAAGCCCTAGGTATAAATCTGTAAATGTGATTGTGACCCCTATAATAACAGTAGAAAAGATTTTTGATGTTCATCTTTGAACTTCGATCATTAACTAAGAGAAAAACAAAATGCAGACGTTTATGACACTCTTTCATGATTTTTGTGATTGTTTACATATATGTAAACATGCGTCTAAGAAAGCAAATGAAACATGAATGAGAATTTCTTTTACCAGTTTATCGAAGCTTATGTTAGGGTTAAAACCCTTGATAAAATGAGGTCTTCTGGCATCCATCATCTCTCGTTGTATCAGCTGATTTTCTGTAAAACCTTAGAAACAACTCAAGGAAATTACAGACATTGAGATGTACCGTGAATCAAATCAACCGTCCCTTCCTATATAGTGAAATTTTCAAGGATGATATAGTGAATCGAGAGAGAGAGAGAGAGAGAGAGAAGAGAGAGAGAGAGAAGAGCCGGAGAGAGAGAGAGAGAGAGAGAGAGAGATAGAGAGAGGAGAAGAGAGATAGAGAGAAGAGCCGGAAGAGAGAGAGAGGAGAAGAGAGAGACAGAGAAGAGCGAGATAGATAGCAGAGCCGTAGGAGAGCGAGATTCGAAGAGAATAGATAGAGAGTCTACGGTAACCCAAGATACAGCCTTGTGTAGAGGAGTAGACCCGGGACAGGAAAAGGTTTGGGCCAGGAAAAGAATGGGACAGAGTGACGGTTGTTTTTACCAAAATGACCCTGTGGCTGTGTTAGATGACAATGATCAAAACAAAACAGATTTAACCAAGTGTGTTTCCTCAAGATTTAACTAAAGAAGTCAGACATTTACATTTACATTTACATTTACATTTCAACACTAAAAACATAATGCATTTTATATTGATATGAGAAAACTATTTTTTAAGGATTTATTAAAAAACAGTCTAAACTTCATATAGTCTACCCATATATTTTCTAAGGGTTCATAGCAAAACATGAGGACGCTGCAAAATGTGTATTTAATACAACTTTTCTCTCTTTTTTCTTCGTACTTCTCATTACGAAATAGACCATTTAACATATTGTTCAAAATAACCATATGTTATATGTTGCAGGGGGTCGACAATGAAATGTGTGGACATTGCAAGATGCGTATTTGTTGATAACACAATGTCGTTTTGCCTCTATTTTTATGTTTCGTATTCCCCACGACGAAATGGATCTCATTGTGAAATGAAGATTGATGATCGGTAAATGTGGAACTTTTCTTCATCATTAATTTTTAGTTTGAAACCATTATCTATAAAGGTTGGTAAATTTCCTTGGTCGATTTCATCAATCACAATCAAGATATATACAAGAGATCCATCGGATCAAATTCACGTGTGTGAACGTTGATGAGTTTGGTTTTGAGAACCGATAACAATGTTACAAGACCAATTGAGATATGTTAGGTCTTTTCCACGACTTAGAACGAAAATGGGGTGTCACTTTTGTTGCATGTGAAGCCAAGACGAAAAGATAGTTAATATACTTCTGATACCAAGCCTACGAGGCTTGCTTTAGACCAAAAAGTGATTTTCATAGTTTGAGAACATATTTGGGATATGATTTATATTGAAAGTGTTAGAACAAAGTTCTATTAGGATCGATAGATTCTATGCAGGCAAACAATTAAGAACGTAATTATGAACACAAGAATGACTTTGAATATGTCGTATGATTAATGCTTTAACACCTCAGAAGAGCTCGATTAAGAACTTCGACTGTAGAGGTGCTTAGGGTTACAAAACTATAATGATAATCAAGAAGGTTAACTAATGCATACATGCATGCACATGCATATATATATAGTTAACCCTACTAGATAATCACGGATGGACAGCCCCAATCCGGATACAAACCACAAGCCCATGACGCAACACAATAAGACTCAACAATCTCCCCCTTTGCGTCAATGGAGCCGAAAGCTCACTTCGGTTGAGCTGCAGAAGACTTCTTGATTGTCTTGAACACCTTCGGTATGATGGCCAATAGATGATGACGAAACGTAATGTACCACCGAAGCATGTCCGTAAAGTTCTTCTTGTCTGCTTCTGAGTTCTGCTTGCACCGATGGATAATGTTGATAATGTGCTCCAAGCAGTCAATTGAAATAAATGTTTTGAGAATAGAAATCTATTGGCTTCGCCTCTTGTAAACATTCAATTTGGCCCATCCTCATTTTGTTCACATCTCCTGGTTTCGGTGTTGGCTTGACAGTCGGTTTCTTGTTCATCACTTTCACTATCTCCTGATCCATAGCAGCAACCTCATGGATGTAAGAGGCCAACATCCTCTTCAAGTGATCCAATATCGGCTCATATTCTTTCGGATTGGTGAGCAGAATGTTGAACAATAGGATCCAGTCATGAGGATTTAAATTCGGAAGGTCTGCCAGGGAAATAATCGACACCGAGTTTGCTGATCCTCGTGTGATTTTAAAATTAACATTTATGAACTTCCCAGCAGGCGTAGGTTTTAGTACCTTGACTGAAGGGTCCAGTTAATGGTTTGGTCTAGGCTTTCATTGTAATAGTTCATTATGAGTCTTTAGTGTGTTTTGGGAGTTGTTTAGCAGTTTACGGCCAAGAGTGAGTTTACGGTCGTAAACCTGTTTACGGCCGTAAACCCAGTTTGCGGCCCAAGTCAAGTATAAATAGAGGAGTTGTAGGTCTTTTGTCTGGTTGTTGATGTCATAGTGTTCACGGTTCATTCTGTCGAGTTGTACCAGACGTTTTATGCAATAAACGTGTGCAAGCTTGATTTCTTTTCTTCTTCTACTTCTATTGTGATTTCTATTGATTGTTTGTTGCTTGATCATTGGTAAAGATCCGTTTCAGGACCTTACAATTGGTATCAGAGCGAAACCGGTGTCAAAGCTTCATTCAATCGAGTTTTCGGCTGTTTAGACTGACATTCTTTATTGTTCGAGATTGGTTTTAGTGTTTTCGTGGTTAAAGGGATTGAAACTACTCCAAAATCGCGTTTTCGAAGAACTTCTGGGAGTTTACTGCCGACCGTAAACTCAGTTTACGGCTGTAAACTCAAGAACTTTAATCAACCGTAAACTGTGAATCTTCATTAACCGTAAACTAAGCTTCAATAACCGTAAACACTTAAACCGTAAACATCCAAACCGTAATCATTCGACCGTAAACTCAGTTTACGGCCGTAAACACATTAACCGTAAACGCAATTTACGGTCGTAAACATATTAACCGTAAACGCAGTTTACGGTCGTAATCACATCAACCGTAAACTTCTTTCTGACATTAATTTGCTTTAATTTCGGATGGAATCTCAAAGTCAAACTCATTTTCACAAACTTGATACTGTCATGGGCACTACTACGCGTATTCCAAGATTAATGTCTGCAGATGGTTTTCCTGAGTGGAAATACAGGATTGAAAAGTACATTAAAATGAAGGACTTTAAAGTCTGGAGAAGCATTCTTAGAGGCCCCTGTTAGAATCACTATGACGGGTTGGAGGACAAGTGATTGACAAAGCTGTTGAAAACTACACAGATGAAGAGTTTGAAAAGGTGGAAGAACAGGAAAGGGATTTAGCCACTCTAACCATGACATTATCTCCTGATATTGCTCAAGGTTTCCGAGAGTATACTTCAGCTAAAGATTTGTGGGAAGCCCTAATTGAGGTATATGAAGGAAATGAAGATATGAAGGAGAGTCGCCAGGAAATGTTGCGACAAAAATTCAATATGTTCAACTACATTCCCGGAGAGACTCTTGAGGCACAGCTGCAGCGGTTCACAACTCTCACCACTGACATGAATATATCTGGGATTTTCTTGACCAAGTCAGAGATTAACAAGAAGCTTCTGAATGCTATTCCTAGGTCATGGGACATGAATGTTGCTGTGATTAAGAAGACCAAGGATCTGAATCGCCTCACTCTTGCTGAAATCATGGCGATCATCAAAGCTTGTGATATTGATGACAAACAGAGAGAGATTAACCATGTGAACTCGTACTCAACTGCAAATCTTGGAATCTCATCCAACAATGCTCTCTCATCAATCATGTCTTCCTCAGGTCAAGCTTTTGCTGCTTAACAACCTCAGATTCAGACCTTCGTTGCTGCATCATCCATTCCTCATTCTCAAAGCCAGCCATTTGTCACTCCACAATTTATTCCCCCTCCAAATGTGCCAGTTGTAGCCTCTTCCTCAAACTCGAAAGACACTGATGAAAATCTGGCTCTAGCCACTGGGCTTGTTAACTGCTACAATGCTTTTGTAGCTGGAGAGCTTCCACCTCAGCTGTCATTTGCTGACCTGGATCAGATTCATCCAGAAGACGTGGAAGAGATGGACATTACATGGCAGATTGCTATGGCTGTTTTCAGGGCCAAGCAGTTTGCTAAAAAGACAGGGAAGAACAACTGGGGCATGAATGCTGACAAGAAGGTGGGATTCAACAAGGGCATGCTGCGATGTTTCAACTGCCACGAGCCGGGTCACTTTACTCGTGAGTGTCCAAAACCAGATCGTAGGACGAACAACAACAGGACAATGGTTGCAATGGGAAACAATCGTGCAGGTGCTGCGGTTAATGGTGAGACTGCTATGGTCGCTCAATCCTTTGACTGGGAGGACCAGATTCAGGCTTTGAATATTTCAGGGCCAGAAAACGCTCACCTAGCTCAAATTGATGATGCTCCCCTAAAGAATGATGCAGCTGATCCTGAAGCAGAAATGATGGAGCTGCAGTTTGCTCTGATGGTGTCTTCTACTTCCGAGCCCAGGAAGAGTGAGGTAAATCTACCGTCTTGTTCTCAGGCATGTAATGAATATGTTAAACTTCTTCATGATGAAATTCAATTATTACGTAGAGAAGTAGAGGACCTTAGATATGAGGGCTATCAACTCAGGAAAGGACAAAAACCCCTTAAGGCCCAGTTAGAAACAAAAATAAAAGATTTTAAAAGAATTCAGACAGAAATTATGATTATGTTAAGAGACAAAATGATGAGTTAATTACTGAGCTTGATACATTAAAGAGACAATTTGAAACTGCAAATTTTGATTTTAGATGGATCAAGCGAGGTAGTTGCCAACATGATTGATCACTGCATGCAATTCAAACGAAACCAACAAAAGAGTTTAGGATACGTTAGTGTACCTCCTCCTTATAATCATACATATCAGTATCAACCCCTATCCAAAGATGAGATTGCCAACGAACCATTCATGGTTTACGGCAAGCCATCTGATTTCGTTTCAGGAGGATTTATTAATGTTGAAAGTACTAACGTTTCTACTTCCCCTGCAGATCAACCCTTAGATCAGGCAAAGCGTGAAGTTGGAGAATCTGTTTCTGTTTCTGTTTCTGATTCTGATATTTTTGTTTCAAATGAAAAAAAAATTGTTTCTGATATTAAAAC